ATTTACCAATTATTTCCTCAATACTATTAACTATTGCATGAACATAATTTGACATATTCATTAGTCTTCTTACAATTATGGCAAATCTTTTGAGCCTTTTACTCGGTTTTCTATTGTACTTTGAATTTTATTTGTATATATGGCGTTATACATGTTTTTGTTCTTAAAATTCTTATTAAAAAAATTTTGACTCTTGAGATATTTTTATTGCGCTTCCAAAAGCTCGATTTATCAAAATAATACGAATTTGAAATTTTATATATATTAAAACTTTCCAAATTAGAAAGACCGTACGATAATGATTATTCTTAATATATCATTTTCTTTTATTAAAAAAGAGTAAAATATTTGATATCTTTAGCAACATCAACAACATCATCATCTTTGTTCACTTACCAATTTTATGTTCGTTGATCATTTTACCTTGCTATCATTGAAATGACAAATTAAAATAAATTCAATCGTAACTAAACACGATTATGCAATGTGTATTATTCCATCGATATCCGTTTTACGGCATTGTTTCATTGCTGTTACAATGATTTCAGATAAGCGTAAAACAATTTCAATCGAATTAAGAAAATCAGCTTTTTAAGACATAAACGCATAAAAATCACATTTTTATCTCAATATTGATTATGAACTACCGGGTTTGGTCATAAGTGTAATAAATTTTATAAAATAAGAATTTAAAATTTAATAAAAGGAAATTTATATATACATTGAGTATGGTACATTAATAATAACTTTATACAATACGTATAATATCTACCTTATTTTAGGGATTGGAATCGATTTCGACAATTAGAATCGATTTGAGAATCGCGCTCGAAGATTCGGTCTTCGATTTTCGATTAATTTAATAATATAACCGATCGATCTATTGCGTTAAGGCCGTACCCATACACTCTCTCAATGTGATTAGATAGTGATTACAAGCAATTGAAATAAGGATGGAGATCAGTGCTTAAGTAATCTCTTTTTATCTTTCTATCATTTTAACAAGAATAAAAAAGGCTTAAACTCTAGCTCGTACCCTCATGTAAAGGGAAAATAAAGTTGTAAATATTGAATATTCTTTGCATTTGAACATTCTGACATTTTTTATTTACTATAAAAATTTGTAATATATAATAACTAGCTGGCGATTGTGTTTCTGAAAACCCATGGTGTAAAATGAAAAGAAGGAAGTCCTGCCTATGCGAGCTTTATTTGTTGCTTAACAACAATAAAACTTGCCCATCTACAGAACTTTCTTTAGGACATGGAATCTGGGAGGTTTCGATATGTAAACATGATCTCGTTAGTACGCGGGATTAACCTTTTTACGCCGAAGCTTCGCCTAATCAAGTACAAAACTCAATAAAACTTGCCTTATTTCAGAAGTTCTCTTTATGGACCTGGGAGTTCGGAATGTAAACATAATCTCGTTAGAACGGGTGGTTACCTTTTGCGCTGAAGCTTCGCAGCAAATACGAACTCAATAAAACTCACCTATTTGCAGAGTACTCTTTAGATATTTTGGATGTAAACAAAACCTCGTTCTCAGCTTTTTATACCAAAAATATCTCCTAAGCTATCTCAATAAAACTTAGTTTGTTTGTATTTAAGAAAGTTAATTTACCGACCGAAAGAATAAGAAAAAACGAGATGTTTTACCGACAAAAAAATAAATAATAAATAATATATTTTTTTGAAAAAAAAAAATAATGATTGTAAAATATTCAGGGAAGTAAGCTTTATATTTCACGTATAACATGAGGGCTACGCTATTAAAATCATCTTACCCATACCCAGTATCACCAACAAGTTTTTCACTCCACGTGATTTGTGGCGTAACTGATAAATATTCGATTAAAGATAAAATACATATTTATTGCAAAATTTAATTACTGATATTTAATAACACGCGAAATTCTCACTCATTTTATAAAAATTCGAATATCAAAAAAATATGCACAAAATAAACCCGGGTATGTATCTTTTTTTCGAAATTTTCTGCTTGGTTTTAACAACTTAAATAAACTTTTTAAAAAAATTATTAGGTAAAATTGCATTCGCTCCTAATAAAGAAATTAGAAAACATTTGTTTTTCTTCATTTATTACGTTAAAAATAAATGATAAAATAGCAATTACATTAAAAAATTCTTAATTAAAAAAACATTGTATTATGTGAATGATCTTTGAATATTCGTAGCATTACCCTTCTAAAATTCTCTTTATCCCGTTTCTCTATTAAAGTTAAATATATTATTAATAAAAATACATAAGCAAATTTA